ATATAGTTTTTTTCCTCTTAGATTTAATTTGAAAGGTATATGTATAATTTGAATAAAATTTTAAATTATATTTGGTCTAAATATTTCATTGTAAATGCTCATGCTACTTTAGCATAGCATCTACATTTCAATATTTATGGGATAATATTGAAACTTTTCAAAGTACTAAATGACATCCTCTAAAATTATAAGATATCACTATATAATAAAAATCCTAAATAAAAATTTAAATTTAATGAGAAACTAACATGATTTATATTTTTATAAAAAACTTTTTTTTATTTATAAAATTTTAATTTTAAATTAAAATATAATAAAAATATTTAAAAATAATTTTATTGTGTATTATTCAATCAACTTTTGAAATATAATTTCATCCAACAACACTTACGTCAATATATATTTAAAATATTTCATAACTGCACATTTAGTCAAATCTTTTTCTCCAGAGACATTTAAAATGCAAAATTGCATCTTGCGTCTTAAGCTGGATAATAATATTAATTAATTAGATTTAGAATGTAAAAGAATAAGTGTTAATCATTAATTTAGGATAGTTAACTATTAGTTTTGGCACCCCATCCATTCACTCGGTTTTAAATACCCACGCCACGCATGGGCAAACTCTATTGGCTGTAAGATGTGGACCCCGCGCAACAGCCTGCGGTACCTTCCACTGCCCGTGGATATGTACGTGTTGCTCGCAGCCGACGCTGTCCCGACCAACATGTACCCCGAGATGACCCCACGGGACCCACTTCCCGTCCTATACCAATCTTGGTCGAGTCAAGCGGTCCATTTCGAGACAGATGTCGCGTTCCGCCGGCCTTCACGCATAAGTGTTCGGCTCCTCGTAGCTAGCAACATAATTGCCGACGGAGGGTTCCGCCCCCAGTCCGACTTGTCTTCTCGATGCCAAGGAGAGGGTGGGGGAAGAAGTGCGAGGTCGGATCTCACGGCGTTGGTCTTTGTGTTCTTTTCACCAGGAAGAAGGTTAAGGGAGCAAAGAAAGAAAGGGAGGGATGAGATTACATGTGAAGCGGAGGGGGGTTGACAGAAGAGAGTGAGCACGCAACGGGGAAAAATGGTGTCTTGCGGTGCTGTTTCCGTTGTGTGCTCACCTCTCTCCCTGTAAGCCTTGAGAAACGTTCGCCTCGGAGAATGAGATCGCGACGGAAAGAAGCGGCCGAGCGTTCTTCCGTTGCTGAACTCTTCTCGGGAGTTCCTTCCACCACCTGAAGTTCCCCTCTCCTCTCGTCTTTTTTCGTCTACTTGCGTCCTTTTCTTGGATTCGCTGATGTGTGGCCGGGGACCTCTTTGCTTTCTCTGCCTTACGTCTCGTCGTTTCAAGAAATCGGGGGCTTCAATTCTTTGCCCAGGGTTTTCTAAGAATTAGGGGAAATTGTGGGAAAATCGTGACTTTTGAGAAGGTAAGAGAGAGTAAGAGGAAAGAGTACATTAGTCCTGTGTTCCTTCTTGTTCTCCGCTATCTTCTATTCCCTTGTTGGTTTCGTCTTTCTTGATTCTGGCTCGTCTTGCCTAGGGTTTGAAGGTAAACTATTAGGATTTACCCGGAAGAGGTAGCCGTCTGAGGTTCGTTTAACCCCTTCCGTGGTGGCTTCACCAGAGCGGAGAAAGATTAAGTCTTCAATGACACGCCATGAACCCTAAGTATTTCTTTCTTGCATATATCTCGCGAACCGCCACCTTCACCTTCATCCCTTGATCCCTTTTTTTGATTTGCCAGGTCGAATCGTGAGTCGTCAGGATCACCCTTTTTTGTGCATTTCTCTATTCGTTTCAAATGCTTCTTGTTTCAGATAAGGAAGCATCATAGTTTTTCTCTCTTTTTTTTTGGAGAATAGTGATGAACCATCGATTATTATCCTCCCTTTTTCTTGTCCCCTCCACCTTTTATCCACTATCTGGAATGATACTGTAAAAGAAGACTGTTAGCAAGGAGCTTCTTTTTGCTTGTTATTTCTCCGACCCTACAAGTTGCTTTCGGCAGATGATGACTCTTTCTCACTTGCTAACCACTCCTCGTGGTCCAGCCACTCATTTGATCCTCTGTCATTTGTGGTTGAAGATTGATGGAAAGACCGACCATTAAAGAACGCGTTCTTTATTTTTTTTTCCCCCAATGGAGGTAAGCTTGCTTCATTTGCATTTTCCCCACTCTATAAATGCTTCATTTTGTCATGTTGCTCAAAATTATTTGTGAACAATGTATATTCCTTGTGCTATGCAAATTAGAGATTGTAGTTTCAAGGTAGAAACCTCATAGTTTGTCTAGGAGTATGGGCCTCTGATCACTAGGGATAACATTTGGTCTAAGTCTCTGTTGCAGTATTGAATAAGAGTGATATGGTTCCATGAAAGCTGGGGATTTTAGGTTTCTAAGCATAGTACGACAGTCTTATGAATTTTTTGGTTAAGATTCATAACATAGCAGTGCAATTATTTCGGACCTATGTTAATTATTAGAGAAATATGCTAAATTTAGGTGCCAAAGTCTGTCTTAACTCGAGAAGAGTTATGACCTATGCTTTTTGTTAGTGAATCAAAGAATTCAACTGGATTTTTCTTGCTTGGATGCTTTTAATAACAGTAGGTAATTAGGGTTGTGTCACTTCATCAATGAATATAGTTATACTTAGTACCAATCAGCTATCAGCAAAGCAAACCCCTTCTTACGTAACTATTTATATGGAAGGGGAAAATAAAAGGAAACTTGTGACTGAACTGAAGTTGTAACTAAAAATATGGAGTTATTGAAACCTTGGTTGCAGTTAGAGAATGGATATCAATTAAGATCTTGCTTAAGCTATTGAGCATGCATATGTGAACTAGGCCTGTGGTTTTAGGGTATGCATCATAGGCGTCATCAAGATCAACAGAGAAAATAATTAGACTTGTTCCATTCCTTTTCTTTTCAAGTTTTTTAGTGTAACAATTGGAGGAAGTTCTTGTTTGAATCTGTTTGTCAGTAATAATTCTGTTCGTTCTTTTTTTTTTTTTTTTTTTCTTTTTCCTTCTTTATGTTTATAACTAAAACACAAACTTGTAGACCTAATCGTGAAGGGGAAACACTCATGCTGTGCCTCTAAATTTTTTGATAGAACTGCTATACTAGTAGATGTCCAGATTATTGTGTGTGTCGACTCCCACAATTAGTACCGGTAGCTGTGATGCATGCCATTGATATGGAAACTGGATAACTTTGTATAAACGTTGATCCACAATAAGTAATGCTTAAGATGTCTTGAGACTGCCAGCTCTATCAAAAATAGCTGTTCCTGCCATGCCATTTATCAGAAATGATTTCACAGTATACCAAGAGAGGTAGAGGAATGATTAATATTGATGGTATGAGAAGAGGTAAAAGGTAGATCTAAGATGACTTTAATAGAAATTATAAATAAATTTTTAAATATTCTAAAATTAACTAAACATACAGATTTTTACATATCTCAATAATGACAAAAGATATATAAAGTCAATCACAAATAATTAAAATTTTTTACCATTTTATTGTTGTTATATCTCAACTACTTATTGCATGCATCATCGTTTTTCCTTTTTTAGATGGACCATGGTTATCAATAAGCCAATAAGGAATCACATATGCATTTTATTGATAATTGGTATCTTGAATTTTAGAGAAAAAATCTTCATTATAATATCACTTAGATGAAGGTCAATTGCCATCTCCAGTAACGCAATGATCATCTTTTTTCCAGTTCATTGTGATCCAGTGTTTAAACATGGTGAAGACTCTAACATGCAGAGAGCTAAATTGACTCTTGAAAGGATGTTAGTATGATTTGGTTTGCTTCTTGTCTCGTAAGAATTATCACCGTCTACTTTTGCTTCTTTCGTATATAAAATATCCTTGTGTTTATTAATGTTAATAGCAGTACAAGCCACACATAATAGGCTTATATGAAGCTGCAAACACCAGAGCACTTTAGAGATAGAAGGATCAAGCATAAAGCTTACCGAACTGTGAAATTAGGCTTATATTCTACTCAGTAGTTACTTGCATAGGAGAATGATTGTGGCTGTAAAGTTAATAGCATCATGTTCAAGTTGCATCAACATGAAATTCATACTAATTTTGTATGCAAAAAGTCACACCTTTGATATATACATTGAGTCTGAACTGGTTTATAAATGAAATATAGGAGTCCCATATTAAAAAGGGAGGAGAATTAAATTAGTATTGTGAATATAGGAATCTACTACTATTAATTTGAGATTAAATATTAGTTTCTTTGATTGAACTATTTATTTGTTCAATCGAATTAAGCATGAACCTAAGCCCTTCACTCGGGCGCTCACTTGAGGCGCTTAGTTTTAGACGAGCACTCATGTGATGCTTTATCGAAATGCCTCACTCGAAGATTCTATGAGACGCTCGGGTGAGCACTGACTGCGTGCTTTAATGGTACCCTCAAGTGCAGTGCACAAATTGATCCTGCAAATACGCAATTGGTATTAGTCAGATACTGCAGTTTTATAATGTGTGTATGCATATAGCATGCAAATAGTGTATCATGATTACTGTTTGGCAAAGCATATCTATTATCAGCATAAATCAGTGCCGATGAGGTACCTGTTTAATCTACATGTATATAGCATGCTATGCATAAACATTAGCTGTGTCAATGTCTTGGGAAATTGTTCTATTACTGTGTTCTGCATTAGTAATGTAAAAAAAAAAGGATTTCTTTTTAGCATTCTTTCCAAAATAACGGGAGAGAGGCAATCTATTTAAACAGTTTCCTCCCTTTCGGGAATTGTCATATCCCCTCTACTGATTACTTAAAAGGTTCGTGTTCCCTTCTGGAATAAAAAAACATGTTTCTTTTTTTTATGGAGAAGTAAACTTTCCCTTTCCTTGTTAACTTTCGTTTTGGTTGCTTCGAGCACAATAATTGGTATTAGTCCTTATATAGTCCTTATCAATAACCTACCTCTTATGAACTTTATGTTCTAAAAATTCTTGTTCATATTTGTGTTCTTTTTGTATGCATGCTGGTGTTGCATATGAATATCCGTGCATAAATATACAATCTCGTTTACATATTCGCTAACGTGTGTGCAATCATGAGCAGATAAATTTACCAGAAATGTGCCATACAAGGGACATGCAAGATACATATTTGTTTCTATAAAGAATTTGTTCATGTTTCTTGGATTATGGAATCAAATGTGGGTGGTAATTGCCCGATCCAAGGCTTAAGTGCATAGAGGTGATTGAGACAGAAGAGGTGAAGACCACGCAATCAAAAGCATGTAGGTCCATCTCCCAGGCAAATATGACTGCAGAAGACACCACCATATCAAAGTGTCACTTCTGCATATGTTAACTCTCTAATACCCAGTTCATGTCTCTCTAGCACCACAAAGAGAGGAGGAATACTCTATCTAAGATCGGGTGGAACTGGATGGTGCTGAGTAAGTTTTCATGTGAAGTTGACACCCCACCTTGATGGTGAATAAAATTCTGTGTGCAGTCGGAAGAGATGCAATCCGGCTTAGGCTTCGATTAGAGATCTCTGCCTCTGGGGCCCTGCTGAGCAAAGCCCAAAGTTACCTTCTGTGGGTCAGGTACGAGTAGTATGGAGAGTGATTTTGATGTTTGCAAAGATGGTACAGTATTCATTGAGATGTGACTTGTTTGATGTGATGAATGTGCTCATAGGTTGGTGTTAGCAGGAAATGTACCGAGGTACAAGAGAAGCTGGTGGGTGGTGATCTTTGGGGTACTGTCGCCCTCGGGATTTGCTCTGCACGATACTGAATGAGACCGTCACTCACCCATAGCTGCACCCACCCATTGAACACTGTTCGCACACTCTTATTATGAGAACAGTGGCTTGCTTTCTAATATGTATATGCTCCCTTGAAGATCACTTTGAGCAAAGCAAAAATTCTAACATAAATGAAGTTGTAAATTCTAAGTTGATGTGTGAACGTGCAGATCGACAGCAATGATATCTGCCACTTGGATGAGTTGCAGGAGATCAATAAAGAAATGGTGCGTTGAATACGATAAGTAGGTAGCAAAATATAAAAAAGTATTTTTTCACAAATAGCGAAGATAGAATTTGAGTTCAGGATTTTATAATAAATTATTAAATTTTTGTAAGAAGCTATTACAAATGATATCTTTAAGATATATAAAAGTTGATCTGAGTAATGATAATCTCGGAGTGAGGTATCTCTCTATTGGATAATTACTATATCTGGAATAAATTACTATTCTTAGATACATGATGCATCATCGTACAAAACGGTCCACATGTGGCTCAGGGGGCGCGGTCAAACCCTCACCACTAACGGCCGTCCATCGCCGTCAGCAACGACTGCGTCCGTTAAAAGACTGCCGTAAAAACAGCGTGACTGGACCCCCCCGCCTAGACGCCGTTAATATTACATGGTCAATTGCAGTCAAAAGCCGAAGAATCTCTCTTTCTACCTCCTCCCTCCGCTCGGTTCTTTCCTCCTCTTTCCCCAATCTTCGAAACTGCCTGCCTCTCAGTCTTCTCATGGTGAAACCCTCGGAATCTTCTTGAAGATTCGATGACGGAGGAGGGCGACGGCTCGGCGACGCCGCAGGAGGATAAGCCAAGGGGCGGCGACGACGACGGCGGGACTCCGCCGTCACCGTCTTCTGAGAGGCCTCCGCCCGCCGATCTCGGGTCCGATGCTACCGCGGTGGGGAAGGGAGGCGGTTCCGGGGCTGTGCCGGCAGCCAAAGCTGATGGCAGGTCGTTCTCGCAGCTCCTGGCGGGGGCCATGGCATCGCCGGTGGGGAGCCCACGCCCGCCGCCGATCCTCACCGTCCCGGTGGTCGCCGTCCCCTGCTTGCTCGCCCCTGCCGCGTTGCTCGAGTCGCCTGGGTTCACGGTTGGCGGCCCTAATCTCTCCCTCCTTCCAATTTAAGCCATCAAAACCCGAGGGTTGCTTTTTTTTCGTCTTTTCCCCCCTTTTTTGGATAAGTAGTGTTTCGAACTGAATTCTGTCGTTCGGATGGCTAGTCTTGCTTTTGGCTCAATTTCTTAGTGGTTACTTGTAGGCTTTTATGAGCTCGTCATCTCTTCTAATGGCGTTGGGGATTGTTCTGGGACGACTAATTAACTTTCTTAATGGAACTCCTTTCTTTCCTTGCATGTATCCTTCTTTCGTGTCAGAATTCCCTTTTAGGATTAAATATGGTATTTTGATTGTAGATTATAACTGACTAAGATACTTCTATCTTTAATTGGTTTCAATTGATCTAGTTTACTCAAGTCACAAGACATACTAAGGGGAATCTTTTGGTTTATGTATGCTCTGCACTGATATTTTTATGTAAGGGTTGAAACTTTCTAATTGATATATGAATGAGTAGGGGTTGGGCTCATATGAATATTGAGACGAGGGAATAGATCTGACCAGGCAGGTCATAGTTTAGATATTTTATGCTTAAAAAGCTATTAGTAGTTGCATTATTAGCTATGTAGTTTTAAACTTTTAAAGCTTCTTAATTATAAGTATTGTATGTAGAGATATTTCCATGCTAAATAGGGTATACAACATTGTTTTCCTTGCATTCCCATAGATATTAATATGGTTCCCATGAAACTATAACAAAATGTCTATGCAAGCATCTGATTAATGAGAAATAACTTCAAGTCCAATTAATATGTTTGAAACTCTCCTTCCAGGCACACATATTTTCTCTCACCTCTGTGTGAGAGTTAGGAATTACACATGTCAGGTCTGAAGCTATCATTGACACCGAGTAGAAAGCTACATGTCTTTAAAGGGCAGAAATTACTCCTTGCCAAATGAGGAATATTAAACATTTAATAAATTGAAGATGAGTTTGTAAATGGTAAAAGACCTCCAGAGTCTTGACTAAAGAAGTGTGAGAGACTGACCTTGACTTACCTTAGTGAGATGAACTAGAAGTAAATGAGCATGTTTCCCCAAGACAATATTGGAGACAAATTGTTAGAACAATATTTTGGTACTCCAGTTTAGCTCACATTAGACGTGGGAGGGTTATAGGATTAGAGTTGGTCTACTGCATTAGCTTGAGCTTAAGTATTCTGGGTTAGTGATTCAGTTATTAAGTTAGTGAATTAATTATCCCATTTGAGGGTCATGACAGATGCTACCGGAGCGTATCTAATATTGGACATGGTGAGGCATTCAAATAAAAAATATCTATATATGGATGGTGTTGGAGATACATCACTACATGAAGTCGTCATTAGTTGGGCCTCACATGTACCATAGTATAGGGTTTGATTTTGGGTTATGTTTGGGTCTTGACAATAACTTTAAGCAGGGGAGATTAGAACATCTTAGTTTAGTCCCACATTGAATGTAGGAGGATGATCTAGTTGACTTATAGAGCCAGAGTAACACTCAACCATTATTAACTTCGACTCCATTTTTGACTCATGGTTCAATCGTTTTGAATGAAGTCATGACAACTTATGAGATATGAGTAACTATGAAAATGCCTTAGTTTTAGGTTGTAGTAAAGATTAATTGTTTGGACACCTGCTAGTATGGTTGATGAATTAAAGTTGTTTGGACATATCCCGAAAGAAAATTAAAAGAGCCCTAGTTGAGCAGGGTGCGTAATTTTGATTAGTGCTACTAAGAAAAAGCACGAGTAAGATAGGAAGACCTTACCAGATGACTCTTGGTTTGAGTTGCACTGTTGCTCTTGGGAGAGTTTGCTACTGGGAAAGGATTTAATTAGTTAACCCAAATATTTGTGATATACAACTTGTTTTTGTTGTTGCCATTGAACTTAGGTAACATTTACTGAACTTATAAACAAGGTTTTTAATTTCGAATGATATCCCCTGTACCGAGCGGTATGTACCGGTCCACTAGCAAACCAGTATGCGGACCTCTCGCTACCGGGCGGTACCGTCGATTGAGGTTGTTTCTCCCTGTTGCCACTCAAAATTGGTCGGTGATAGTCGATTTCAACCATCGCTTCCCACTACCTACCAAGCGGTATTAGCCGAGGGAGAAGGAAGAAGAGGAAGAAGAAAAGGGAGAATTTGGAGATCCAATGCTGCTCTCCCTCGACGAACCTGATTTGTCGTTGCCCTTCTTCGCCGAACGTCGTATATTAGATGTCGCCTCCTCCTCCTCTGAGGTGACGAGGCCTCGGCGTCGTCGAGGCTTCACGGGGAGAAGAAACGAGGCGACGTCGCCTCAACGACATCACCTTTTCTTTATTTACTTTATTATTATTATTATATATATATAATAATAATAATAATTAGCAGGATACTCCGGTACGCCAAAGCATACCGCTCGGTATACTCGTACTGTATCGTACCAAGTTGAGCTCGATACTCCGGTACGGTACGAAATTACAAACTTCGCTTATAAAACAAAGAAACTAATTTAAGCATCTCTATCTTTTTTCACACACAAATAGCAGGATAAGAAATTGATAAGTGGTAGGTGCTAAAATGCTATAAGACATTATATTTTGTGACTACCATCAAACATATTTACAAATTGGCTTTGATAAGACGTATTCCAAAATTTGTGACTACTCTATAAATTCCCCTAAAAATCCTAAATTCGGAGTAATTATGAATTAATTTAAGAATTACGGAATATTTCATCCCAAGTGAAATATTTAATTTCTTTTTAAGTGGATTTGATGATAGGATGACTTTAAAAGGAGTTTTAAACTTATACCAACTCTTTTTAACTTAGGAAATAGATAAGAGTTGATTGATTAAAAATTAATTACGAAACCCTCCCTATTCATCATAATGGAACAAGGCCTCGGTCTAAGCGAAGAGGCACGAGGCCATTGTGAGATAGGTAGGTTCTCAGTCTCTATATATTTGGTATATGTAAATTCGTATTTTCACAGTTCAAAGTCTGCATAATCTGATTTATAATTTTTAGGAATTGTTCAATAATATTTGAAATTATTTATTATGGTATTTTAATTTAGTGCATAAAAAATTAGATTAATTGATTTGATTCTAATGGTTATTTAATTGTATATTTATCTCTCTGTCTTCTAAGTATTTGGCAGATTTTTATCTGGATTTTTTATGTATTACAGGAATTTTTATATGATTTAATTAATTTAATTCATAGAAATAATTTTTAAATCCTGTTTGATTATGTTTTTATTTTAAATAAAGAGTTCTTCATGATTAGAATGTAACTGTGATTTTCGGATATTTGTAATAATTATGGGAATTTTTATATGTAATTATTGATTTTACATCAATTTTAATACACGAAGATAGATTTAGAATCCTTTTAAATTATATTTCTGTTTGAATAAACTATTCTGTATGACCAATATTTTGTTTCCTTATTTTGAAATTTTCAAGTAATTGTAATTCTAATTTGGAATTATTGATTTGAATAATATTTTAATTCATGAAGT